TAGTTATTGTGTTCTTTATTTTCTTGTCAGAGGGGTTAACAGATTACATGATTCGTCAGGATAAATCTTGCACCCAGTTACTCCCTCTGTACTTAAACCAGTTACAATCTCTCTGGTGATTCTGGGTGGTTTTGGGAGAAAAATGACTTTATAGTTGAGTTTCTGCTCCTTCTGCATTCTTCTGGCTTTGTGCCCTATCCCCCCCACTCCTCCCCTCCCCTTCAATCCCCCGCTTCTCTCTCTCTCTTTCTCTCTCTCTCTCTCTCTCTCTCTCTCTCTCTCTCTCTCTCTCTCGCTCTCTCTCTTTCTGACTGTCCTTCCATCTCTTTCCTTTTCTCCTGCTCTCTCTCGCCCTCAGTAGCATTCATCTCTCTGTGAAGCTCCTCTCCTACCCACTTGGTGCGGTTGAGCTGACTGAGGCCGTTTCTAAAGTGGATATTTTTTCTCTCGAGCGTGTGGACGGAGGGTAACAGCTCATACTCATCATGCCGACAGCCTCATTTTCTGGCTGTCTTGCTGCTCTGGGGTCAAGGATGCATCGTCATACCCCTTACTCCAGCATCAGAGTTGGCCTAGGAAGATTAGGCTCTCCCTCACTGTGAAATGTTGCCTTTCCAGTATAATACGCTCTGCCATCACGCTAGCTTCTCTCTGCGGTTGGTAAATAGGGACACAAGATCTCAGGATTCTCCAGATCAATCCAGTGTTAAATGATATGAAAGTTGCATCATGCTATGGTTTAGGGCTGTCTTGATTATTGAATTAGCCTTGATTACTTGATTAAAAATCATTGATTAGCATTTACCTTCTCAGTGCAAATATTTTGGAATGCATGAAAGACTTGGTTTGTTATTGTTCAGTCCAGTTGTCAGTGTCTGGCCTTTTTTAGAAGTCTGATTGCTCCATTAATTGCAAATTGCAAAAATAAAAAAATGCAGAATAATCAGCAGTAGATTTACTTGATTACTGATATTATTGATACTGACAACCCTACAATGGTTGTATAATAATCAGAGACCAGAGCTGCTGATTGAAGCAGCTTAAAATGCAGCCTTTAAGAAATGGCTCAGCAAAATGTACACAGTTTTCCACTTAACCCAGATGTAGTCGGTCCTCCAAGACCTGTTTCGAGTTCAGATTTTGCTTCTTAATTTAGTGCCAGAGCAACAAGGTTACTAACAAACACTAACAAACAAGTCAACAGACACCCAAGTCACCTCTGTAAGTACATCCCAAATACTTCTCTCAACCCACTTAAACCGCATCCAGATCTTCATGCAGACTTGTCGACGTAGTTTCAGCTACACATTGTACAAGTTTTGTTCATTTTTTTAGTTTGTTTTTATAGGAGGTCATACTGTGTCCTAAACTACATCAACAAATCTGCATAAACCTAAAGAAGACCTGAAGGATGAAGGATGTATTGACTTATATTGACTTCCAGTATTAAATGAACCGCCACCAAACACACAATTATATAGAAGAAGAACACTCCTCATGTGTGTTAAAAATTGTGTGTGTAATTTTAATAACTGGTCCTCTGGTCCAAGTGACCATGTGATATTAGGACCAATCGCAGACTGGGTGAGGAGTCTCAGAACAAAAGACAGAGTGTTTGGAGTCCTGTTAAGAAGACCGACCACACTACACACCTCAGACCACCTCGTCTTTCCTACCTAAAAGACTTCTTTTTGCTCCAAAGCAGCAGAACTTGTTTCATTTGAAGTGTAGTGCTGGCTTTGGTAGGTACATTGATCCTCATAAGCCCTATCAGTGGTTGCACAGCTCTTAGATCATTTATCTTGAAAGCTCCTCCCATGTGAGGAAATAAGAAAGTACCCTCAAGATAAGCAGATTGTGTTTTATGGGTTAGTTTACTTGGTAAAAGACTTAGTCACAGACAGTTAATTTGAAGTTGAACTGGAGTAATTAGAATTCATGAGGCTGGGTTTAGTTTCATTGGATCCAAGAGCCTGTAAGTAGGCTTATTGAATGGCTGATATTTTATTCATATTTTGAGACTGCATACTTTATGCAGAACCTCTAGCATTTCTGAGCATAACAAGGGGTAGCAAATAGTCTACATTGATATGGAAGAAAGCCTCAAAGCTTCTGTGACCAAATGTGATTTTGTTGATCTAGTCCTAACAGCCTGTCGCAGTGACAGGCTTTTTTGTCACTGCTAATGCTCTGAGAGAGGCTTGCTGCCACTAATAAAAAGTTAAATCTTATTTTGTCAAACATAAATTATTAGGTAATGGATAATTCACAGATAGCAACTCATTTATTCCGCAGCCTCAGGCATACACGCTACTTCATGAAGGGTTAGGGGACCAGTTCGCAGCAGCTATGGCAGATAGTTATATTAGACCACGCTTGAAAAGCTGCCAAAAGCAAAGTTAGAGCTAATGCACGTCCTGCTGGAGGCCCTGTGCTGTTGTTTATGGGATGAGAAGCCTCCTTTATTCTTTACGACTTCTGTTCCCAGTAGTGGGATTTGAAGAGGATGAGTTTGGGAAAGTTAGCAGCCCTTACTGACATTATGTAGAGTGCAGAAAATATGCAAAGTCTGCTCTTCTGTTTGCACTTACCTCAGTCTGTGGACCACACTGGACTTTTTCTTCTGGAGGATTTCAGAGAAACGTGTGGGAACCTGCTCGCTCTTTGTCTCTATTTATAGCTACAGCTTTCCACTTTAGAAAATCCTCAGCTTTCATGTCGACATCGATCTTTGAGATATTTGTTTTACTGATCCCACACAGAAACACGCACACAGAGCAGCTCATGTTTTCCAGCTTCGCAAAGCAATTATTTTATTATCCGACACTGAGGTGATAAAATACAAGAATCAGCATGAAAGACTAATCGTAGACCTAGTTTTAAAAAGCCTTTTTTTGGAGGATCTCATCGATGGTTTAAGTTAGACTAACTAGCTCTTGGAATAGTCCATCAACAGCTGTGGGGGGTTCTTCTGTACATGACTCAGATCTTTAATCACCCTTTACTATTGATATTAAAAGGGAAGAACTTTGATCGATTTTGCAAAGATTGTAAAGGACTTTGAAGTGTTTTGCTGTGTATCTTGGCTGTAATTGAGTTTTACAGTGCTTTTGAACCTGCATTCAGTTGAACAGAGTTAAAAATAACCAGTAGAAGAACTAAATTCCAGCAATTATTTGTCAGACAAACAAGTTGAAAACGCAAGCTGGAGTCAAAGAGCCTGTAGTGCGTGGAATACCTTATATGGGCTGGAAGAAGCGTGTCATTTTCCCAGTAAGGAAAATATAGAATGGCTTGTTTGTTCCATTACAAAACGTTTTGTGCTAATTGTTTTTGCGCCACCCCGCTGATGCAGATAATTGGTCTTATTATCGTTTGAAAAACGTTGTTTCATTCTTTTCCTTTTCCTTAAATTATGCAACGTGATAAATGTTTTGCAATTACGCCCATATATAACCTCCCACAGAAAGACTTTTATTCACAAGCACACAGTAAAAAGAGGGCAAGGACTGTTAGCTTAACAGCAGAGATTTGTGACCCTTGGCTTTGCAGTTTAGAAGAAAATGACCGTAATTTAGCAATTTCTACTGCTACTGCAGTAACGAGCTGCACATGTAGTTCCAAGTCATATGTTTGAGTGTACCGTCTCGGAGCTGTTCGCTTTACTTTCTTGCTGTTTCTCACCAAGCACAGTTTTACAGCAGTTCTTCAGCATTTATTTTTTTATTCTTCATTTCTGGGTTTGACTGGTCTTCATGCCCACATTGGTCCCATTTGGAAGGGATCCTCTGCACACTGCCTCATTCCTCTCTCATTCACAGTAGGGCTGTCATTTCTAATTCGAGTAGCTCACTAATCAGTAGCATTTTTGCTCGATGGAGATAGCGAGTCTGCTTATACAGTTAAGTGTTGTTCTGTCTTACTGAATGTGTTGTTTGCATCCATCAGTCAGCATCAGCAGCTCAGTGGGTACTGAAGAGTATGATTGATGCAACACGATGTTGAAAAATCCTTTGTGGTTGCACTTCAGAATCCAAAAGTTTTTCTTAGCACAGTACAACTTTGCACTACAACTGGCAGCCAGCCATGCCTAAACCATTGATGCCCACAGTGGGCATCAGTGGTTTAGGTGTCCAGTGGTTAACAGTGTCCAATTTTCTTGCTTTTTTCTTTGGTCTAAAAGGGTTACTTCTTTTAATTTGATATTTAAAAAAAAAAAATGTTCCGTTCTTCACAATTTGATTATTTCTCATGAAGTGATAAAATAGTCCAATATTTCAACAAATCACCAGAAATATTTTAAGTCACTTCACATATACACAAAACACACAGAGTGTACGCTGTCCAGTGGAATCCAGAACATTTTAATGGGAAGCCAATCTGTATTAGAACAGGAGTTTCCCTTAAATCCTCCTTTTTAGTCTTTCTTTCACGCTTCCATTCAAACGCATACACAGTACATAGACACACGCACACATACGCACATGCATGATTTGACCAGACACACACTTATGAAATTATGAAGTTATTACAAATTTCAAAAATTGGTTGGATAGGCAGTTGCATAAAGTGGCTGGACACCAAATTTGAGCTATTTATGTCAAACAGAAAAAAATTCTGTGGCCAGTTTCCTTATTGTACTTTTTTAAAGTCTTTTTTAAAGCGTGAATGGACTAATTTCACTTTTAATTAACCCATGAATACGTTATAACCTAGATGGCCAAATATAAAGCATCAGTTTGTGTATCATGTCATTAGTTTATTCATTAAGAAATGTAAAAGGTGTAAAATAACATTCCCAATAACCTACTTAACGAAATGAAGGTTTTCAGTGAAGGTGTAAATCAAAGACAAGTTGTCTAATCCGGTAGTTAATACTGTGCTGTTGGTTTATTTGTTAGGGGTTCTTAATTGACTTTGAAAAGTTGGAAGCTGAAAATCAGGCCAATGAAATCATTGACAGATAACTCTACACTCATGTGTTCTCCTCTGTTGTGCAGTGAGGACTTTCACTCCTTTCCGGTTCTCAGTGGAGCCAGTGGACACGCTGGCTGTGCGCGGGCTGCCTGCTGTGCTGAACTGCTCTGTGTCCAGCAAGGCTCCAGTGCGAGTGGAATGGAAGAAGGACGGCACATTCCCCAACCTGGCAGCAGACGACCGCCGGCGCCTGCTCCCGGACGGCTCTCTTCTCGTCAGCACTGTGGTGCACTCCAAACACAACAAACCTGACGAGGGCGTCTACCAGTGTGTGGCCACCATTGACAACCTGGGCACCATCAGCAGCCGCACTGCTCGCCTGACTGTAGCAGGTAAAGGGATCACGGCTGCCTGTGTTGATGGTTAGGGCTATAATCAACTTTTCAAAAAAAAAAAAAACGTCCCAAAAAAACTGCTCAAACTTCTTGCTGTACTACACAGAGCTCCAGTTGATCCCACAAAATCAGTGGTCACCAGCCTTGGTCCTGGATATCGGCCTTCCCTCAGAACCTTGTTCCTACCACAGTGTGCCACGTCTGCTCCAGCTAATTAACTTCTTCAGACATCTTTGATTGGCTGGATGAAATGCATTGGTATTAGGTAAGAGGAGGTCAGCATATTAGATGCAGGTTGGAACTAAACTCTGCAGGAAAGTAGATCTTCAGGAGGAGGATTGGTGACCACTGTATAGGTGATATAAATGCCATTTATCTGTGTGATGCTTATAAAATATTTGTGGACATGTATCAAGGTGGTTTTGTGAGAATGACCCAAATGTTCATTACACCCAAGATACATGGCAAGAGAACACATCAGAGCCCCTAAAAATCTCTGCAGAATGGAATAATTTGCCTGGAAGACAGAAATTTCGATGGCGACGTTGTGAGAAGAAACTGCAGCAGGCGTAGTTCAGTCAGTCGATTTATTCTTCTTTAAGAGTGCAGTGAATTAGTAGAAACCATACTGCCTTTATTGCTTCCTGTAGCATACTATAAGTAGCATTCTTATAGCAACTTGTCAGCTATAATCAGCGTCCATTCCCCCTTATTCCATGACTCATGGATTTAGTTAGCCAATTGTAGCAGCTTTAGTGGTGGTGGATGAAGGTGGTACATTCCAGGCCATGCTGCGACGTTCTGATGCTCATAAGAGAGGTCTCAGATCTGCATCCTCTTCCTTCACCCGGCTTCCCCTTTTCCCTCTCCTTGGTTTAAGTGTGAGGAGAGGAATGAAAGCAAAGTGGCGACAGCCTCCAGAGAGCGTTCCTGCTGCTCTGTCTGGTGGAAATGCGGAAGGAAGGCGTAAGTTTCTTCAAAGTGTTAAAACGGGCTCTGTGTCACTCTGCTCCCCAGATGTTGGCATTGCTTGCCCTTTCATATTCACTCTGATGTTCCCACAGACTACAGACAATGACTGTGTGCGTGTGTTTTTGTGTGTGTGTGTGTGTGTGTGTGTGTGTGTGTGTGTGTGTGTGTGTGTGTGTGTGTGTGCGTGAGAGAGAGAGAGAGAGAGAGAGAGAGAGAGAGAGATACTATTAGAGTGTGTGTGTGTGTGTGTCTGTTTTTTTATGTCAGGGCAGTGAAAGAGGGCTGTTTGAAGCAGGGATGTTGGCATAGAGCTCTTGCCTGTTCTCCATGAGAACACTACCCTGAACATCCAGCACATTGTCCTGTGTTTAAGCAGTATGTACTGATGCATTCTGGGGCTGCACAATCAATATTGCAAAAGGCAAAAAAGAGGAACTGCAGTTTCTTCTTGGATCTTCAGTTTAGGAATACACCTGAGGGAACAGAACAGTGGTGGTTGTAAAAGTGCTGCTTAGTGAATGAGTCTTCTTAGCACAGCATTTTTTATGAATACCTCTGGGTCAGGTCGTTTTTATGAATAAGCGTCTGTGAAGTGGAGTAAAAAAAAAGTCAGGTTTAGATTGAGTCTGACTGGTGCATGAATCAGGTACTATAAATGTGCCATATTTTATGGTTTTCTTTTCATTTTTTTCCATGAAGTCTACTTTGCAATTTGATGTACCAAAAGCAGTTAAATAAGTGACCATCTCCCAAGCTCTCTTTATCCCTTAGAATCAAACAGACAGTTTTGGTAAATGATCTCTCCACTGATTGGTTACCTTGTACTGTACCTCTTTCAAGAGGCAGTCTACGCAGATATGTGGAACTGATGGTTGTGGTCAGACTGAAAAAAATAAAATCAGCCAATCCTATTGGATACCTGGATCCTTTGGGTGGCATGTAATGATGCATTTGGTTCCTAAAAGCCAGTAAGAGCACAACGTTCAACCATTTTCACTCACATAATCTGCTTTCGGAAGAACCACTAAAGACAGTCTGCAGGAACGATACTCAGAGTCACTTCAACATTAATCTATGAGCTAAACAGCTGTAGGCTGAATGGGCAGTAATATGTAAATAAGTTCGTGGTTGTGACATCAGAACTATGATGAAAGTAAAAACACAGGAAATGAAGGAAAATTGTGTTAACCATATGACCCCTTTAAAGCACAGAAATATCAGCGCTCCAAACATGGAATGTCATTGTGCATTAGGGCTGTCAGATGGGATTAGAAATCCAATTAGAATTTTCTGTTTGTTTGACTGAAATTCAAATGTATTCAATATTTGAGAAATACATACATTTTTAATCATACATTATTTTTAAAGAAAAAAGTAAGAAGATAAACACCAGATTCCCAAGTCAATGTTGTGTGTCCTACACCTGCCAGGTGCCAGGGGGCCATCGGCATTAATTATCAAGCGACCAGTGTTTAAACCAGTGATTCTCAGCCTGGAGATCACCACTCATGCGATGGTCATCATAAAGGTACATAGGCCTACTGTGACATATCTTTAAGAAGGACTTTTCCAGAAAATCCTCACACCAGTGATACCCCGCTGTTAATATGTGCGAAAAAGCGTGGCTGCACTGAAAACGTTAGGACACACACCAGCTCTAGTAAAAGCAAAAGTCTGTAGCTGCGGTAGCTGTGTTGCAGCTTAGCCATGCAGCTTCACCACCTTATAAACATCGCGTGATTATTAGCTTACTGTACTACAAAGCGTCCTCATTCAAGGCATTGGCTTGTCAAGAAAGTCTGCCATTTGAAGCTGGTCATTAGGTTACCTCACACGAGGACATACTTGCGTTTTTCGTTTGGTATTCGTTTGTGTTGAGGTTAGTATTTAAAGAGAATCAGGATTGATTTTTTTTTTTAATTCAGTGAATATTCAAGTATCAGATTTGATCTTAACAGTCCTATTATGTGTGTTTGCATGAAGCAGAATTTGACTCTTACTCTTATGGTTTTAAATTAAATGGAAGATTATTTCCTGTAAACCTTTTGGAGGGACTGTCAATATAATCACCTGACCATCACTACCAGCGGCTTGGTAGAATAACCTGTACAGATCAGCTTGCTCTTTTGCAGCAGAAGGAGAATAAGCAGCATGCTGACCTTGAATTCTTTTTCATGTCCTTTTTCATGACCGCTATACTGCACTGGAGCCTCCTGTACTGGCCTGCAGCCTGTTTCTGCATGCAGAGGTCCAGGGTGCATGTAGACATGCAGTAAAGGCCTGTGAGTGGCACATCGGTCTCTGGGTGAAAGCCAAACATGCACACAGTGCTACGTCTTCATTAGCGCACCTCGACTTCCATGAATATTGAACATGCACTTCTGGCACAGAGTCCGAATACCAGATCAGCATCAGAGGTGGGGGGGCTTTAGAGAAGCAGAGTGAGACTTTAATAGAAAGAGGAAGAGACAGATTTTATAATGGGGGCTGCAGAGGAGATGATTTATATTAAGGTGAGGTAGTTCTAAATATCTCGCTGCTCTGGTGTCTGGTAGCTTCAGTTACATTACTGCACGTGAGTGGAATGATTTAGCTTAATGAGGTTTCTTAATGATGTATATATTATTATGAAAGCAAGTGAGAGCGTTACAGTTCACAGTGCATGCAACATTTATGGAAATTTCTGTTCACTGCTCAGCTAATATCCATCAAGGCCTGGCTTACAGTGCCAGGCATCTGTATAGCGCATTGCAGGCCAGTTTTTGAGATGCGAATAGTCATGTGAAGACTATTGGATTATGCTGCTCAAAGCTCTGCACAACATCTAATTATGTTTCATGATAATAGATTATATTAGTCTGTTCTAGTATCTGAGATCAGAGGCATATTCCTGTACACTCACAAACCCCTCTCTCAATCAAACACAAGCCACTGGAAGCTGAAATACAAGTTTTAGTTTCTCAGAGTTTTTGGATGGAAAGGTTCCGTCTCCAAATTAAACGCTTGGCACATTTGAAGTTCCCGCACGCTCTCAGACTCTCTGCCTTGTCTGCCTCTTTCACTCTTCTTTTTGCCCTCTTTCTGTCCCCTCCAGGGAAGAATCTGCCTTCAAGTGTGACTTTTTTTTCCTACACACAGAAGATGCAAGCTACTCTCCATTGCTCTCTCTTTGCCTCTCTTTCTGTCTCCGTCTCTCTTTCACCAGCCTTTTGCACTGAGCTTTAGCACTGAATATGATCCAGTGGATCAGCAGGAACGTTGGAAAAATCATTTCTTGCTCAGTGAATGGAAGTGACAAGCATTTAGAGGAAGTAGATTGACAACAATGCATTTAAGTCCATTGGTTTGTGATGACCCTCTATTCTTCTTTTGTGTCCTCTTTTTAATGCCTGTCAGTTCTGCTCCCTGCTGCTGCCCATTATTGCCTGAAATGGTGCAGTCTGGGAAGTGAAGGTGTTTGTGGTTCTGCCCTGTCTTTCACTGTTTACCTCCTAAAACAGATCTGTTCTACACTCCAAATAAACAGTCAAGAAAATTGTTTTGTTTACAAACCTGCGATATGTAACATTAAATGCCATCTCTAGTGTATATTAATGGAATTGTGTGGCACATTTACAATGAAAGGGGAAAGTTTGTGAACAAATTAAGTGTGCTTGGCAAAACCCCAGGTGGTTGCCATGGTGTTGTTGAGCTGTTGCCGTGGTGTCCCGGGTGATTGCTAAAGTGTTGCTATGCTGTTGATATGGAATCCCAGATGGTTGCTAAGGTGTTGCTGGGCAGCTGCTGTTATCCCAGGTGGTTGCTATGCCATTGCTATGGTATGGTTGCTGTGTGTGTATGTGATGTACTGTCTATGAGGGGCAGTGTAAAATATGTCTTTTTTGACATCATTTGTGGCAGTTAGATTTGAATGTTCTCATCATTACACCATTCATTTCTTACAGAGGAATAAATTGTGATTGAACGAATGCTGTAGGAAAACCGCACGCATGATCTGTCTCCACAGCTTGCTCACGCTGTGTATA